GTGCTAATCATGCAGCCTTAATCTTGATTTAAATAGTGCATGGTTCACATGTTCCGATATTAGTGAAGAATCATGAGAACTGAGAATTATATAAACTTTGGTTCAACTTCAACGGCTGGTCATCAATGGCTGCTAATAATGCGGCGTTAATTTTGAATTTAAATAGTGCATGGTCCACTTGTTCCAATATTACTGTATGTATTTTTATAGTTGTGAGAGTGTCTTAGACCCATTTATGCACATCTTCATACTAATTTTTCTTTAATCTGGTTAAAGACAAATTATTTATGCTTAAATTAGAGAATTAATAAAAAGATAACACTTCATTGGTCTTTTCAAATAATTCGAATGTTGGTTAATAAAATAAAAAATAAACTTTCTTAGTAACTAAATCACCATTTCTTGAGTATTAATGTAAATTATCTATGCAAGTGATCAAGGTATAGAGTTATGTTAAATAAAATGGATCAAAATACTGCAATGCAAAGTAGGGAACTTACCAATGAACAAAAGTAATAATAATAATAATAATTTGTAGAGGATGAATTGCTGGAGCAAATCTCCTTTGGCAGTAAGCTTACTTTCATGCTTTGTAAGTTATTTGCTAATAACATCACATGCGATCTAGTGGCCAGCTGCCATCAGAAATTGCTCCAGCAATGCATCCATACATTTTGGTCTTCCACCAAAGCTGCTGCAGCCTACAGCTACTTTATATTTCAGCTGGCCTCCTTGGTGAACAGTTCTAGTCCCTCATCCGTATATATAGGTGATGAAGGACAACTTCATTTTCTCTTCACCACTATAGGGAATTCTTGCATTTTTCCTTCTAAATCGGCATATTCGAGGCACATACTCTGTCTGATTATGATTGAATTCTCATTGCCATCTAACTTTAACCTCTCTTTTGTACTAGGATTCCAACATTTTCATATTGCAGAACTTTAATTTGGCTTGTTGAACTTTTTCTTTTATTCTTGTTGTTACTCTTCTAAAGAGCTATTTGTATTACACATTGCACCATATGGCATTATGCTCATGCCTTCAAGGCTGTTTGGTCCTGTTCCATCCTCTTTAAGGATTCCCAAAGACGTAGTGGAAGTCTAAAGATCAGAAAGGCATCAATTTTCTGTTCTTAAAACTATACTTCATTGTTGATATCCATCAGAAAAATAGTAAATGTCTAGCAAAATAAATGGAAAGAAATAGCACATTCCAAGAGATCTAGCAAATATGCTTTCTGCCCTTTGCTATCAGCTCTTATCTTCATTTGTGGCCATTGATCATTGTGTTTCCTTTTCAAAAGGTTCTTGAGATGGGAAGTGGTTTGTGAGTCTTGGATGAATTGTCTCCACACTTCTTTGCAATTTTTGTCTTGTTTTTATTTGTATGATTCAGAACATATATGCTTAACATTTGCTGTATTCATATAATTGGAAGAGCATGATCATTTTCCTGCATGTCCAAGCTAAGGTGCAGATCAGCTGGTATAAAGAGGACTCTCGGTTTTTCTGTGCTTGCTCAAACAGTGCTGAAGGAATTAAACAAATTAATATGCTTGAGTGGTTGAGGAAAAGCAGGGCCAGTTCTCCTTTAGCAAACTTCTTTTGCCAAAGGAGAATTGCCCTATTCGTCATTCCCGCTTGCACTTGCAGTTAGCATTATATATATTTTTTTTACATTAACTAATTTACTTCTGCCTTTGTTTCTTTAATCAAGTTACTGGAGGCAACGTTAGTGTGAATCTTGTTATTTTATTTTCCAAATGGTCCTACTGTAGAATCCGCAGAAAAAATTATGAAGAAATTCAGGTTTGCTCCATCTTCAGGAAAATCGGCTAATAAATAAGAGTGTTTGCTGACTAGCTATTTATGAATCACAATGTTTGCTGTCTGTGTACAGTTATATATGTTCAAAAATGATATGTACAGATTGTTTTTGCCAGTTCTCCTGATAATCTGTTAAGTTGCAACCAATGCTGTATTATCTTCTTTGTTCTTGAATGCATGATTCATATTCCACTACAGCATTGTTGCCATTTAGCTATGGAAAAAACCGTAGATATATGATAAAAATCTGTAGGTATATGCCTCTCAAGACTTATACCTATGGTAAAAAAAATGTAAGTATATGTCCCGTAACTATAGATATCTACCTGCACTTTTGTACGTATTCTTACTCTTATCTCACTGCATACTAAGAATGAATTAAATCAGAGACAAATTTCAACAGATTTCGATCCTTACAATTTCAATGGTGTTAAAGACTCGATCACTAAGTTAAATAGACTGCAAGCAGACGAGCAGACGAGCAGACGAGCAGTCGAGCAGGACATGGCTTATTGATGCAATGTACAGTCTGCAAGCTGAGTAGAACTATCTGGTCCTGTTTCTTTAAGGTATTTCATCAAGAAGGATGAAATTAATATTTTGCTCTGCCTTTCATAACATTATATGAGAGTTTAGAAATACTGGAAACTTGCACAAAGCATCTAAACTTTTACCAAGTTGGTGGGAAAACTAAGCATTTATGCTTGCAGAGTGTTGGGTTTTTTTTTCCAAAGAAATGGAGAGAATATCGGGAGGAAGATGAAGAGCAGAACCCAACTAAAATGGAGAGAAGTTTATCACTTCAACTCATTTTAGTTGGGTTCTGCTCTTCATCTTCCTCCCGATATTCTCTCCATTTCTTTGTGAAAAAAAAACCAACATGGTATTAGAGCCTTTCATGATCTTTGAGGGCCTGTGTGAGAGAGATTTGAGGGAAATATACCACCACAAACTCCGACCAGACCCAAATGGCTACCAGCAAGTGTTTTCTTTCAAAAAACCAACACAAAGTACTTTGGAGTGCGTTACTTAATTTGTTCCTAAACTATGATGATATTTTGATTTCAGAAATTTAACAAAAAAGCAATATTGTAGACATTTCTTTGTTGCTAGCGCCATTGTTCATAACATATATTGGAATCATATGAATTATGTAGATAACAGTACCATGCTCGTGAACTGGTGCAAGCCAAGTGTGGTGAAGATTGCACAGCTGAATTGCGGGACAAATCTCCTTTGGCAGCAGTGTCACTCTTTCCTTAAGAGGGAATGTAGCAGTTTAAGAGCGACAAACTGCCAGAGGTGAATTTGCCCAGTAATGCATCCGTGCTCAATGTTTTTGGCTGATGGACATTTCAGAAATCCAATCTTTATTTATAGGCAAGGAAGAGCCTGGCATTTGCCTGAATGAGAGCATATTCTTGGCTTATATCCACTTCTTTGCAAGCTGTAAGGGAAAGATATACTCAAATCTCGCATAAGTACATTATGAGGTCTAATAAACTTCTGCAAAGAGTTATAAGTCTCTGTCTGCAATGTTTTTATGCAAATAAACCATTCATATATTTTGGCTTACAGGATTGAAACATGTGCTCATTTGAACGAGGCCCCTTCACTCCTCTAAGGGTCAGGTTCATTCCTTTACTGTAAACGGAAGCGCCGAATATATCTGGTTCAAGAAGGGAGAAGATCAGAAAAGGGAAAATGAAATATCATGGAGGTGGAAGATCCAGTGGCATGTTCTGATTCCCACTCTGGTCGACCACATGTTCTGTCATCTGTGGCACGTGAATGAACCTACCCTGGTTAAATGCTGCATGTTTTTACGTATAGTCATGCACAATATGTCGACATAAGAATGCTGGTATACATACGCATCCAGCTCTAATATGCCTGTACTGCTCCCTTTTAACACTTCCTGTATGCATAATTGATAATGACTTAAAGCGTTGAAAAATGCGTACATATATTGTTTAAAGAGAGAATATTTGCTGCAAGAATATGTCAGCTCTAAGCTGGTTTTCAACTATCCAGCTTCTTTGCCAAACTAAAATTAGTACAAGAGTTTAAGATGTTTGAGTTACATTACTCGTTAATTAGTACAATCTTTGGTTATCATCTTAATTGGACCACGATCCCATGATCTAGACGGGGAACCTTCACACATTTGACTTGGCATATGCTAGTCCTTGCTTTGGCATATCCAAAATATTATACTCAATATGGTTTTCCATTTTTTCAAAATTCAAATAATCAAAGTGTGTGATTCAATCACTATAAAAGCCAGTATTCTGTTTCTGCAATAACTCAAGAACATTAGAAGGATTTTTGAGGAGTAAATATGGGGTTGAGGAATTACAGGGCAGTTCTCCTTTGACAGAAGTACCTATTCTCATGCATAGTTCTATTTTGTCAAGGGAGAATTGCCCTGCCATTCGCTTGCATAGTCGTTTCCTTTCCATGTTAATATATTTCTTCTTGCTTTATCATTTGTCTACTTTTACTTATCAATGCAGACTACTAACAAAATGACACAGGTGGTCTTCATCGAAGTCATGATAGGCTTTGCTTCCTGGCTTTTGGGCAGTCTGCGTGCAGAATGGATATAACGTATATCAGTTAAGTTCGTGGATAACTTTTAGGCCTAAATTCAATAGAAATAAGACAATTTTATTTGCAGGCTAAGGATCAAAGGGCTACAAGGGACAAGAACCTAACATTCTTAAACATAATTAACACACTTGAGCACGTTCTGAATTCAAATTAGAATTATCAGCTTAACTGACAAAATCAGATACATGGGAATTGAAGATCCTTTTACAAATTTCAGATTCGGACTACACCTTATTCCCTG